TCTTGTTTTAATTTGGTATAGATGTAGAACATAGTCTGGACGAACGCATAGAATGTTTTTTAACACGTTAGCTGCCATGTCAGACTATATGTCCGACAAGCCAATGTTTTTATCAGGCCTTGTCGGACTATGTGTCCGACAAGCCATACTTAAATAATAAGTATATGAGCAATGTAAATAAGGTATTACTATATTTTTAGGTGTTTTCAACAAAAAATCGTTCTGGCAGCTAACGTGTTAAATTCCACCCGGATGAAGTCGCAGGCAAAAGGTTATGAAACTTCACGATTGTTTTGTAAAAACACAATATCAAAGATGCAATACAAGATTTTAGCATAATTTCCAGTAAGTTAATAATCGATTGTTTTTTTTCTACAAAAGTCTTTAACTTAGAAATAGTAACAAAGTTTGCATATTTTACGTAATTTATCAGCGTTCTTATGTAAGTGCAATAGAGTCTAGTTTCGAATGTTCAATGTTAATATTTGTGGTAAATATAAGTTGGTAAATTTAATGAACAAAAAGCTGATGTCATCGCTGCGTCGCAACTTGATACGAAACAAAGAGTCCCTTTTCTTTGTTATACTTTTTTAATATTAGGGTTCTTTAAATTGAATTCAAAATTCGAAAAGCCAATAATTTATTTTTTCGCTAACTGTCGACCTCAACTCCGTCCGCCCGAAATAAAAATAAATAAATTAGTAGACTATGTGTTCTTCCAGATTATGTTCTACATCTATGACAAATTTCATCAAGATCCGTTGAACCGTTCTGGTGATACATTCACATTCACGAACATGCATCCATCTAGACTTTCGCATTTATGATATTAATTAAGATGAAAAATAAATGCACACAAAATGATTTTTTCTGTATTCCACAATAAAAGCACTTTAAAATTAAGAAGAATTAATTAAGAAGATGTAAAATTTTAACCATTATACGGGACCCTACGCCCCGTTTCGTTTCTTGCCTACATATTTCCGTAGCCATGACATTGTTTAGGATTAGCCGTAATCAGCGCACATTCCACCAGCACTTTACTTTCGAGCCGAGTCGCAGCGACGCTCTACATTCCAACAGTATGCTTCGTAAAAGAGTGGTTTAAACAAACACTATTGAGAAAAGAACACTGCAAAATATCTTATTAAGAAATCCCAAACTTTTATTAACAACCTATGGGCGTAGGCAGATTTGTATACTTTTTTCAGGAAGATATACATTTTTTTTATTGTTTTTTTTGATTACTGCAATTCTTCTTTAATTTGTGAATTCTCAACTTTATTTCCCACCATAGTACACCATGGTGTTTCTGTGGTATCCACTCTACATTTTCTTTGCTTGAACACCTTCTTTCTTTTTTTTTTATCATACGGTAGCAAACAAGCGAGCGGCCACCTGGAATCGCTGAAATAGCTAAGTGACCGTTGCCCATAGACATACGCAATTGCATATGCGTTGCCTACCTTTAATCCACGGAGGAGAGGATGCACAGAAAGTAAATATTTTTCCCTTCCATGCATCCTCTCATCTGGAAAGTCTACTTACACTTCCCATCACTTTCCTTATGAGAAAAAGGGAGGGAAGGGAAAGAGGACTATATAAGGCCTCCGGGACGCACACTCATCAGACTGTAGTTGGAATACTTTGTTGGAGTAGTTTGTAGTTGTTGAAGTACATGTTGTCAATGATATGCTGCAAATTAGCAACATACATTGCTATGCAGACGATAGCACGGGTGACGCACTGTACACGACCCGCGCGAACGTTTCTCGGGTTACTGCCGATGAGAACCGGACTGGACTTGTGACTAGACTGGAGACCCTATTGGGTGAAGTCTCGGATTGGGGTCGACAAAATCTTGTCGAATTCAATCCCAAAAAGACACAAGTCTGCGCCTTTACCGCTAAAAAAGATCCCTTTGTCGTAAATCTTCACTTTGAGAACACTCCCCTGGTTGCCTCAGCCAGTATCGGTATTCTCGGCGTTGACATATCGAGTGACGTTCAGTTTCGCGGTCACTTGGAAGACAAGGCCAAGCTGGCTTCCAAAAAGCTGGGTGTGCTCAGTAGGGCGAAGCAGTATTTCCAGCCGGGCCACCGCCTACAACTTTATAAGGCGCAAGTGCGGCCCCATATGGAGTACTGCTCGCACCTCTGGGCAGGAGAACCCCAGTACCAGCTTCTTCCATTTGACCGCATACAACGGAGAGCGACTCGAATCGTCAATGACCGAGGTCTTACCGATCGGCTTGATTCCCTGGCCTTGCGGAGGGACGTTAGTTCCCTCTGCATTT